TTTGTTTCCTTCCAATGTAAGACTCATCATTTTGGGATATGTAGTCCAAAAATAGAAATGAAATTCTAACAGGTCTCGTGACATCGAGTGTCAGTGTCAAAGAACTATGAGTGGTTTGTATCTGTGTTGGCTTTGAGCACTTGTTTTCTGTCTTTTTTTCCTTTTTTTCTGTTTTCTGCTGTCGGGAAAGAAAGGGTTTGTCATGTCACGTCACTCTGAGCTCATGTCTGTGATATTTGTTTATCATTTCTTTGTAAAAAACTTTTTGAAAAAATAAATATCTGGGTTCACGGCTGTGAGCCAATACCAGTGTGGCAAAGAGAGAACGTGTCACCGACTGAACTCCAGGAAAGAAAAGAGTGGTAAAAAAAATGAAAGCAAGCACAATACGACACTGTTTTTCTCAGAACTCTTGTGTCCTTGCATACTGGAGAGCAACAAAAGCAGAGCCTGCTTGCTTGCGTGTATATGTGCCTTCAAGTGTGTGCGCATGCATCAGTGTTTTGATTGTTTGCATTTATTGCCCATGACATTGTGCAAGGACAGTCCTATCTGTCAGTGTTGAAGTGTGATTTCCTGTGGTGGAAAGGCTTCACACGCAAAAGCATTTGCTTCCCAAACCCTGAAAGTGTATTATCTGGGGACAATAGTCTTCCTTCAGTCCTTTCATATTCAAATTCCCAAAGCTTTCTTGTCCATCAGAGATATTGAAAGTTCATAGAGGCTTAAAGTATTGTGGTGACAGGAGCTTTTTCCGTTACCTATAAGATGGCATACATCTACATTAAAGTCTTTATGGAGACTTTTCCAAATCTATAAGTATGGTTTATTATATTAATCTGTACACAGGTTTTTCACAGGCTGAGGATCTTAACTTATCTCACTTTTTCATTTGATTATGATTTACAGCCTTAATATTCAATAAATCTAAAAATGTAGTTCCTCTTAGGATGAAACGTCCTATAGACAGAACTCCTTTGACATAAAATAAATATTGAATCATCTTTTTTATATTCAGTATATATCAGTATTTTAAGTTTTCATTATTGTAAATGTTAGATGTTATATTATTACAGCAATATACATTTATTGTTGTAGTTATATACAGTATGTGTCTAGTTCTTTCAGTGTCTTGCATATGTGACATCTCATTCCTACGTTATGATGAAAGCAGTATACTCTGCCTGAATCCATTTCTATTTGTTTGCTTTTTTGTATCTGATAGCGGTCTTTGATATAAAAAAGGCTTCGTCTTTTGTATCTGTTACATAGAAGTCAGCCACCTTTAAAGACTACAAATGCAAAATTACTATTTGAGTAGTAGTGGGTCCTTTATCCTCCCTCTGATCTGGCTTTAGAGAGCAAGTAGTGCTATTTCTGTATTTGTAGAAAATAGATTGCTCAGGCTGCATCTCCAGGAACTAGCTAGTTAAACCTGATGTTCTCTGCAGCTGAATATACTTCATAGGTCCTTATCTCTGAAAGCTGCCATAGGGAGCGGGAGCGCGTAGTTGGCTCTGTCTTATTAGTTTTTCCTCGGTTATGCAGGTGGAAGATGTTCCTTGATGTTTTGACTATTGGTGAGGGCAAAAACAGCTGATATTGTTCTTAATATTTGCCACAGCTTGACACATCAAATGCATTTTATCCAGTTAATGCTTGAAGTTTCGCTAACATATCCCCAGATACACATATTTCATCACTCTCTGTTGAGCGCTGACATCCTCCTCTACAGCACTCAAAGCATCACCATAACAGCAGCTGAAGTAAATAGCTCTTTTTTTGCTTTGGTATTTTTGCAGCAGTGGTGAACCCAACCGTAGTATTGCTCCAGAAAACTATTTACTTGCCAAACTATCAGGAAACAAGCCAAAAAGGCTCACTACATCACAGAAAGAGGGAGTTGATCCTTAAGCAAGTTTTTCCCCTTTTCTTTTATCACTTATGGGTTTAAAACTCACAGCATGGCCTAATGGCAGTGGAGATTGTCCCATTATTAATATATAACAGCCTGGTTCTGTACAATAAGCACATGCCCTTAAGCCTTACACAGATGCACTGCGCGCTCCGTCATTGTCAGACACACAGTAACGCCGCTGCCCCGGGACTCTGCATTGCGTAATCCACCAGGACTAACAGGTCATTATATGGTATAATGTCCTGTCATAGCCTAGGTGACCAGCCATAGGATTATGATGAGGTATCTAATTTTGACACCGGCAAATGGATAACATCAGCGTCTGATTACAGTGCATGGCTGCTCGAAACACCTGCGCACGTGTTTGCGTGCGCGTGTGTGTGTGTGTGTGTGTGTGGAGGTCACGCTCGCCAAGAGCAGCATGTCCCTGCTGACAATTGACTACCAAGCAAGGGGGAAAAAAATCCAGAAAATGCTGATAGCCATAATTAAAATGTGGAAAAAAGAGATAAACAATGAACGAGTAAGCATGAAAGACAAAACAACTAGAGGGTGCACAAAATTATGCCGTGTCATTATCTCTTAACCCCTGTGGAGCAGCTCCGGCCACTGACAGATCATCTGGCAGACAGGTCATCAGATTGAGACATGGAAGCATTTCTCATTATCCCAAAGCGATTATGAGGGTCTGCCTTTGGTTCAGAAATCGAAGGGGTTTAAGAGATAGTTTTGAATATAAACACAGAATCCTGTATAAAAGTTTAGAAAAGGACATAACTGCCTAGTTGCTCTCAAAATTACTGACTCCTAGCTTATGGAGGTTATGATGAAGTAACGGCGAATAGCTTTGCTATGGTTCAGATAACATTTTGAATAGGATAATGTTGAACAACACACAAGCAGAGCATGATCCCAAAGTTTTTTTTACTTGCCTTATTTCCAGAGCAGCATAATTATTCTGATACTTCACCATATTCCCTTCAGCAGGTCACACATATACACACACACACACACACATTTACAAACACACTCAAACAATTCAGGTAATCTAGCTGAAGTAGCATTAACCTTCTGCTTGAACTTGGACTCTGTACCTATGCTGTGATTGAGAAACCTTCAAACACCCAGCAACGGCACGCGTGTATAAAGATGCTCCAAATGTGGTGTACGTACACAATGATGAGTCGAGGCTGTGCTTGTTTTTTTAATGTTTTTTTTCTTTTTACAACATGTAAAGGTGATTTAAAGGCTTTTGTGAAAAACACCTCCTACTTTCCTTTAGATATGTAAGATGAAAGTTCCTATTTATTGGATGTTCATTATCCATGGTCATTGTCCACATGTAAATGAAAAAGTTTTAAGCTTTTAGTTATTTATTTTTTGTATCAAGCCAGAAATACTCAAGATGCATTGGCAAGTGTAACAAAAACTAACATGCTGTTTAAACAAGGTATGATTAATTTAATTTAGTAGTAAGTTACTTCTCACTTCAAAACCCAGAAAGATTCAGTGGTTAATCATACCTTGTTTAAACACCATGTTAGTTTTTGTATCATTTTATACTACATGCCAGTAATACCAGTATTGCGCAGTCAATATAGACTAAATATTTTAAGACGTTCTTATACCTAAATAACTGTGACATATAAATCTGTATTACCTTGGGTAGACTGGAATGTCAGTGTTCACTTTAATGGAAGAACTAAATGGGATCATGAACATCCCCCTCCTCATCCCCTCTCTTTCATTTATCAACATGGGAAGCATCTGCTTTCACCTACATCATCCTTGTCATTTTCTCTCATACACTGTGTTCGCTTCTCTGAGGAAGTCACAAGGTCCTTCAGGAAAAAGGTGTCTCACTTTTTTCACATCCTGCTGTGATACAATAATAGAAAAGATACAATAGCAGCCATGACAGCCGAGCACAGCAGTCACTTTCTTTTGGAAAGCCTGACATTTAGAAGCAATGACTGATAGGCCCATTCTGAAGTCACAGGGTGTAGTTGTCCTTATGGGAGTCCTCTCACTTATCACATTCTAAGCACAAACTGCTGCCCCATAGACAGGAAAGTTTACCCAACTGGTACTGTAGCAGCATGTCTGTCATGTGGAAGATAAACTTGAGGTTTTGGTACTTTTTTGGTACTGTCACGCTATGGGAAGTTTGGATGTCAAAGGTTCATTTTGTTTGTTTATTTTAAGCATACTTTCTATTTTTTATTCATTTTTTTTCTCTTCATGCTGTTTTGATTAGTTTGTAACAACTTAAGAATCTTGCGTTCTGATAATTTAGTATTTTATTTTCTGGAAATTCCTTATTTTTCGCAGACCGTGGTCGACACATTCCTGCCTACAATAACAGTAAAACATGTGGGTGCAGGTTTTCTCAAGGGGATGGACACAAACTGAATACCCCTTTCTTTAAGAAGCATCTGAAAAATGAATGCCTCTGTCATCAGCTATGGCATTAACACATGTATTCGGAGATGCAGTGTCAATCTTTCAGCAGCCCAGTGTGCGTGTCAGGGCTTCTGAGCACCTGAATCAGGTATATGGAGGGGAGATAACTGTGTTTGAAAAGTTCTGATCACCCCAATTCATATGTTTATCCACAAATATTTCAATAGTGGGCTTAGTTATTTATTCAAATTGAATGTGAAGACATCGTTTGGACTGTAATGTCTTCCTGTTGCATTGGATGCATTTTCGAATGAAAGAGCTGATGCAGAAGCACGGCCTCAATTTCAAAGCGCTTCATTACAATTGGCACAGATTTGAGAATTTGGCTTAACAGATTGGCTGGAAACAAAGAAAAAAAAACTTGAGTTGTTTATAAGAAATAACAAACTGGCGGATACGGTGAAGAATGACAGACAATGAAACTCTGTGACAGCTGAAGGTATTAGTGCACAAAAAAACAACAAGAGAGGAGTCCGGACAAAAATAAAAAATGGACAGAAATCCTGACGTTTAGGATAGGCTACAATTGAATGTACCTGTGTCCTGAAAGAAGATCTCGGATCAGTTTTGATAACCTGCTTGGGCTGATCCGATGCCGGTGATGCAGGTGTTTATGAAAATGACCAGGCAGCAGGATAAAAACAATATTCACGGGCCAGACAGGCGAGAGACGAACAACAAAGAGGAGGATGGGGAAGCAAAAAGGTAAATTTGCCAATGAGGATCATTAACCCACTGAACCCAACAACGGAAGGGAAAATAGTGTCCTGACACCCATGTGACTTCCGTCTCTATTTTGTTTTATAGTTGGCATAAATTCTGATGCCACTCCCTGGTAAGAGGCAGAAAAATTTATGTTGCCGCTCAGACTGTGAACAGTGTGTTGAGTATGTTGCCCTCCCCTCTTGGAGCTTGACATTTGGTAGATATTGTGATAATGCAGTTGTATATAAAAGTATATTCCTGATCCAAACGAAATGTAAATTTAAGTCAGGAGCACACAGTTAAAATTTATTCCAAAATAAAAGCTGTGTTTATAAACCCTGCCCACACTTGCTTGGCCACCTCCCATCAACACAACACAACACAACACAAAATAAGATTAATACAATTCTAAAAATGTGCAATCCAGATAGGCTGCAGCAAGTGATGCAAATATTATAAAGACCACATTGCACGTGCTGGAGCTCTTTTGTCAGGCAAATTTTAGTGTTGCATAATTTCAGCTGGCAAAATGTAGATGTAGGATCTGAAGTGAATTACAAAAAAAAAAGTCTGTGTTTTAGAAAAAGGAATAAAAGCTCAATTTTAGAATTTATTCTAACAAACTCAGTTTGTACATACATTAATGTTAGTATTGGGCTATAGTTACCCACTTTAGCGTTGTATGTAAACTACTGATTGTCTTATTCCTTTTGAACTATACTCTTGTGTTAACTTCTCTGGGTGTGCCCACATATTCTCTTTCTCTGTCTGTTGCGTCAACATCCACACGCACACTTTCTTATCACATTCCAAAGTTATCTGCACGAATTATGACCTGGCCTGTTTCATGTAAGAGGTAACTGGCCAACGACATTTGGTCGATTGAGATCCTCAGGGAGCTTTGTCTGTGAGAGCCGAGCGCTGAGCTGCTTTACCTGTGACCAATAAATGTCGTATTTGTACTCTTGATCTACTCTGGTTTATTCTCAGACTTCCAACCAAAGAATCGGGCTAACATTAATGTCAGGCCAGATTGCAAGAACTGTGCACAGTTATTATTCCCCACTCTTATGGAAGAAAGTAAGATTTTCCTGAAATTGTAAATGCATAGCTGCACAGCCACCATCAACAAGTCACGGTAATAAGCATCCTGCCACCTGCCTCCTCCATAATACAGAGGAAAGTACAGAGTGGGGCATAGTCTGTTCCAGCAGAACTCGGGAATAAATTTAGATAGCATCAGTCCGCTGATGGAGGGCAGGGTGAATGCAGGCTCTCATGTCTTTTCTTGTCTTTCCTTTGTTTTCAGTATGTAGCAGGTAAAATAAGAGATAAAAAAATGTGTGTGTGTGAGAGAGAGCGAGAGGAAGAAGAGTGGGGAGGTCTGTTTTGAATAAGGAGAGTTTGGAGCACACAAAGAGGCCAAGCTACTGGAATGTCAACAAGTTAGGAAGTAGGCACAGTGTGTGTGCATGTGTGTCCATGGGAATCTGCACACACTGAAGACATCATGCATATGCACTCAAGGGCCCATGCAAAGCAACACACAGAGCGTGCACTGCCATCCAGATGTGCACAAGGACACCGATGGTGCAGAGTTTGACGCACACACACAGACACAGACTCTCCCCCTGAGCTGATACTCTGTTTGGAGCTGCGATGAGCCGTGTAAAATGAAGAGCAAACATACCTGGATGTCATTACAGCTAGACTTTAGGCTGGCTTATTGCTGGAACACAGGGGCCTGTAACTACACCCGTGTGTGTGCCTGTGAGAGCGAGTGCATGTGTCCATAAGCCTTTTATATTTGTGCAGGTACTCACAAATGCTGTTTCCATCTTTGCGTGCCAACGGACGAGCGCGCTGGTTTTTTCCCTGAGCATGTTGCAAATCCGCGGGGTTTTCGCGTTGTGTATTCTGTGGGGAAATTTGACACAGAAATGTATTTACATTTGAAAGTGTTATCTGTCCTCCCCGCTCACTCACTAAATCGCGCTGTCCTCCACTCGCCATTAACCATTTTTCTTTTCCATCTGCTCCATCTTGTCCTGTCCTTCTCACTTCCAGTCATCCCCCTTTCCTCTCTTTCCCTTCAAAGAGCTCTTGCCACACACAGCCATCTATAACATGTGTTTTGACATTCCTTCTAAGCACCAACAAAGCCCCTTAATTTCCCCCATTTGCTTGTCCTGTTGTTGCAGCTCTGACATTTCTGTGGTTTCACAGTCTGAAGCAAAAGGTCTGACCTGTCTGTGGCCACAAGCATGCGCACACGTGTGCTGGTGTGATGATGAGCGCACACACGAAGGTTCATTTGAATAATAGAGCTTTCAACATGTGTGTTTATATTTTTTGGTTCCGAGCCAGTTGTAATGATGATAGCAGGAGCCATGGCTTCAGTTACTCTGTTCTCTGATGGTTCAAATTTAACTGCCAGAGCATAAAAGACAGTCCTGCACTGCCAGTGACCCATGCTAAGTATCAAGCCACCTGTCTCACGTGCAGTAATAAAGGAAATAATTCCAGATTATGAAAGGAAAAACGGAAACGTCTGAGATCCGGGCTATTATACAAGTCCATCGATTCTGGCTGTCTGCTCCGGCTGGTGCTTTCCACTCGGTATTGACCATCTGGTCTTATCGGAGCTGCATGCATGTGTGCAGTGGAGGTTATTTTTAGCGTGCAAAGCGAGTGTATATTATGACAGTGAGCAAGAGGCACAAATGTTTTAGCAATAAAAATGAGAACAATGGCTTAAGGTATTTCCTTGTGGAGTACAGAGAACAAATATCCACCGGCTCAAGTCCACGCACTTTCTCAGAGAATGCAATATTCAGGGGTGCTATCTTTTCAAAAGACGGACATCACTGTGCCTTTTTGTATGTTTGTATGCACAACTGCGTATCTCAACTTGCTTACACTCGGCATACAAACTTATTCTGTGATTTCTTGCAGATGTGGTGCGACTGCATGCATGCTGTCTTGCATAGGTGCTGACATGCGGCTATACGTTATATTAGACTGTATTTTTGCCCCGACATGTATTTTCTTCACACTGAGCGTGTGGACCTTGTGTGCACAGGGTTTAAAGCCGCTTTCTTTTTTTTCTGCTGAGGTTTCTGCATGTGTCAGAGAGAGGGCCATCCACAGATTCTTGCAAACACAGCGCACTGATACCCATCCATGTTTATTTCACAAATAATCAGTCACAAGTGTTTTGCCCGGATTTCCGACAATGATGTGATTAGATTAACAAATGTTGTCTTTGCGTTGTTTAAGAGCCCGACTTTGATCTTTTTTATTACCGTGAATGCAATTACTGATAATAATTATAACCAACTGTATCATTTAAGCCAAATTCCTTTGAACTCCTAATAACTGAGAATACTCTCCACTCCATGTCAAGTCATCCTTTGAAGTCGACAGTGTTTAGGAGGCCTACTGAAAAGAGAGGCAATGCTGTCGAGGAAATGTATTCACTGATAATGATTTTTATTGTGGCAAATGTTGGTTCAGCATCATTAGTCTTCCTCTGACAAATGATGAGCATGGAGCTGTACGTAAACTTCTGGATAAAAGACTTTGCAACAACACTACAGGCTCAGCTCCAGTTCAAATAAAGCTGTGTACGCACTGCTGGGCTGCGTTAAAGTTATTTGTTTTCCACCTTTTATGACATGCCAGCTGAAGCTCAGGAGAGTGAGCTGCAATCTGGGTCCTCAGATGCAGAGATTACAGATGCTGCATTGTTTTTTTGCGACGGCTGGACATGAAACGGACACTTTCTTGTGTTCGGGTGTACTTTTTTAGGGAATCGGTGACATGTAGAGCAGGTGGACAATGTTTTTTTGTTTTTTTCTTTCATATGCAAACTAGTGGGGGATTAAGTGGACGCAGTGTGTCCATTCATGGGGTGTATTGTCAGCTGCAGATGTTTATTACAGTCCCACAGTCACTTGATTGATTGCAGCTTTACAACCACTCACATCCTGGTCCCCTCGGTACTGTACCAACCTGTGATTGGAAATGAGTCACAGAACCGGCGATGGATTCACTCGGCCGTGACCATAATCCTTCTCCGAGTTTCAGGGAGTCTCTGCCATGACCGGGAAACAGCCCCCATTCCCAGCTGGAATTGCAGTTCTGTGATTGCTGACTCAAATAACAATGGAAATAATGTTTGAAGTGCAGGGTTCTGTTTAGCTGCTGCAGCCACGGCTTGACAAACCAGGCTGATTGCTGTTCTAAGATCTGGAAGATTGATAGCTTTATGGCAGCTACACACTAGGATTTAGCAGCATCACGAAAATAACTTTCATCTTCCAAACTTGGTTGTTTTCTTTTACAACACAACAGACTTTGGCTTTTTCCTATGCTGTTAATTTGAAAATTTCTATCTGGCGCATTGTTTTTGGACATATTTGAGCTGGAGTATGCTGTTAGAATACAAAGTCATTCCTTTATTGCCTTTATTGATGTGCGTTTATTGTTTGGGCCTAATGATCAGCGGTAATCTACATGATTAGGCCTTCAAGGTACAAATTACACAGTTAGATAGTAATAAAGTTACCATGGTTGGGGTTTACATGTTTTTCTCTCACACTCTCTGATTACCAGATGATGCGAGCACTGTCCAGAAAGCAAAGGCCTAGGGATATGCCACATCTACAAAGTTACAAACATCAATTGTGAAACTAATGCATTTTGGACAAGCGAACAACTGCGTACATTACACAATTTCTGGTGAGACTCATCGGGTTTATTATTCAAGGATCAGTGGTATCACATTCCTATTATTCTAGTCCTTCCTCAATGTGACAGACTATTTCCATTTTACATTTCTTAAAAACCAAGGGGCAAATCTTACTGTTGCTCAGCCAAAAGAAGAAAGTGTCTCCTCTTCAATATGAGTAACACGCATCAGGAAGGGTTGCATTGTGCTGTACCCCATAGCATATTTTCCTAATCCAGATCATCATTACAGTTAAAAGCGGAAAAACAAAAGAACTTCCTAGAAGTTGAAAAGCCACAATGGCATTGTCAGACAAACACCGTCCAACGCTCCTGATTTCTCTCTCCAGTGCCTAACAATAAGTTTGTATCTGGTATTTAGTTTTTATGCCTGAAACAAGAGAGGTAGAGGCACTTCACGTTTTAAGAAAGTCTGAAGGACATTTTAATTGATGACTTAATAGAGACGTAGCTGTCAGACCAAGAAATATATCATTTGTTGAAATCCAACCAAATATAGGATGCCATAATCAGCAGTGACATCTCTAATTCTGCAGTCTGATGCAATCCAGATGATTTTTTTCCTCTGTGCTGAAATGATTATTAATAGGCTAACGTCTTCACAACATTCTACTTTATAGCTATTCAATACAGATTATTTACAGGCGTATATGGAAAATGGTTATCTGAGAAGGGAAGACAAAACAAAGCAACTACAACAGTAACACAAACAATAATAACAGAAAAATAATGAAAACATAATCATCAGCCCTTATTGGTGTGTGTATCTTTTTTATGCGGACCAGACACTTTTAGCTCCTTTTAAGAGTTTCCAAATGTCTCTGCAGCTTCAGCTCTCCTGTCAAGGTCGCACTATATTTGCAGTGTCCCTGTGATGAAGGCAGTAATTTTTGCTGATATTATCTTGGAACCCAGAAATATCGTCATATATTACAGTCCATTAATTAAGGCTATCATTTCTCTCATCCCTCTCTTCTCATCACTCGCTGAAACCCTCTCCTCCTTTATCTCCCCTTCACCACCCCTTATCACTTCATTCCTGATCCACTCCCCTTCTTAACTTCCAACATGCCACCTCTCTTACGGCCCATACATCTTCTAACCTTCATTGCTCTGCTGTTTCCTCCCACTCTCTCAATGACCTTTTTTTTTTCCTTGGTTTTTCTGCATATTCTCCTTATCTTTATTTTAAGTCTCTCTTCCTCTTCCCTGTCTGCATTTTCCCATTTGGTTTAATAAATCAGAGACTTCATATTAGTACTGACCTTCTGAGTTTGGCTCTCGGGAAAGGCTTAGGGAGATGTTAGCCATGTTATTAACCAATAAGATTAAGCCTGTGAGGGAGATTTCTCTCGGCTTATGTCTGATTATCATTGCAGCCATGCCAAAGGAGGGTAAGAAAAAAAAACAGTTATATTACACACGCTCCTCATTTGAAAAGCAGATAGTAGCAATCACATTCACTTTTTCAAATGACAAAATGCTTCCACTAATATTACTGTTCATGATGTTACACTTTGAAAACTCCCCAGAATTATTATCACCAGGGGATTTTATTCAAATCACA